ATGGACTCTCAAACCAACGCCAGCTCTCCTCACCACCCTTGTCCTGGTTTCAGGGCAGAACCAACTCAAGCGGCTCCTGCTCTGGGAATCCTCCACGACCCTCCTAGGCACAATTAACTGCTATTCTCTCCAAATCCTCACTGTACTTTGTATGCCTTTAGTATTACATTTACCTTTTGTCATCATTAGTGAATCTGCATAATTACAAATGAATTAAGTATTTTTCTCCTATGCTACACTTATAAACCTCTAGGGCAGAGCACCTATTTTGTGGTTGCTTACTGAGTAACCACCAGCATATGGCTTACCTTCATTTTGTCTTGGAACAGAGTAATCTGAAAACACTGAAATGAAATGGTGTCTTTGCAAGGAAATTCTCTTTCATTATGTCTGAATTGAGAATTGAGCATCTCTCGCTTTTAAAATATGTGCAACTGGCTCTGATGTGCCCCAGTGTCTGAAAATCCCTGAATTTAGCTATCATTGATACAGAGATTATCACTATTTAATAAATGTGTAAGATTAACTCTTGAGGTTTGAGTAAGTATACAGTCCCACATTGGGTTAAGTGCCTGGCATGTCATTCTAATGATTTCTGTGATAGGAACAGTTGCTGGAGTGGTGCGTCAGGTCATCCATGTTAAATTTCAAGCTGTGCACAGTAAAACCATCCTGAATATTAGTTAGGATGAATACTTATCGCCGTGGAAAGATGAAATCACTGACTGAAAAAAAGCAGATTTACAAAACAACCTGTACAAAATATTCTCATTTTAGTAGCGACTGCCTTAGGTGGATAAGCATATGTATAGGGGAAAAAAAAATCTGAAAAGATCTACACCAAATTGTTAATATTATAGCAATGTCTGGCTGGCAGAAATGAGGCTGTTTTGTTTTCTTACGTTTCCTTTTCCTGGATGCCCCGCTTTCCACAATGCACATAAAAATGTCCTTGTAAAACTGTAATAATCAAATAATCTAACAATCGGTAGAGATATAAAGAAAGAGGGCCACTGTGAAGGAAGGCAGGGAGCTGGGTGCTGGAGACACAACTAGTAGCATAAGGTCAGGGGGAGAGAAGGTAAGCAGCACCCCGATGGTAACAGAGCTGGAATTCAAACCCAGCTTCCTCTGATTCTCAAATAATATTTATTCCATTTCATCCTGGGGCCTCGGATCCGGTACCAGCGGGCCCCAGAGCTGTGGAGCAATCACAGCTCCTGTTCCAAGCTCTGAATCGCCGTGACCGCCACCACGGGGCCTCTTTCAGGAGGCTCTTCATCCATCATCCTAATCCTTATTACATTCCCGGAGGTTCTCCTCAACGAATCTGATAAAATAATCGATTCCGAGGAGTTAATGTAGTAGTCATGGCCCTGGATTCCCAGGGCCGCGTGCGCTCGGTGTCGGGCTGACAGTTCACATTCAGATGGGGGTGGCCGATTAGACACACAGTAAACCCACGACAATCCGACCAGTGCTGTAATCAAAAGAATAAAACATTCACTACGGGAGCATGAAGGAGTTCAGTGCTTCTTCCATCTGGGATGTCACTGAGAGTTTCAAAGGAAAAAAAAGTGGTGGTGGGGGGGGCGGATAGTCAAGGCCATTGTCTATGTGAAAAACACACAGCAGCTCAAGAGCCCTCCTTCCTGGGGCTCAGGCTGACTTTCCCGGCCACCTCCTGCGAGCATGTGGCCCTTACACCGATGCCACACCCCAGTGTGTGTCTGGGTTTGCAGAAGGCCAGAAGTGGTGGATACTTTCAGGCAGCCCCCTGAGCAGATCTTAAAATAACAGCCCTTGAAGCAAACACGTGTGGCCGATGGAGCCTTCCTCTCACACGGGTACATGCTGTTCTCGCTCAACTGCGTCCCCAAGCCGCGCGCACAGTGGCTTGTTTAATGGATCTGGGTTACCTAAGACTTGCGGGGATTAGGGGGCCGTCAGCAAAACATCTGCGAAGGCTTTGTGAATTGCTTTCTCCAATCACTCCAAATTAGCGACTAATGGACATTTTTGACAATTTGTTCAGCTCTGAGTACAGCCGGCTAAAAATCAACCTCTGGAGAATCCTATTTTGTTTATCATTAATGCTAGAGCATATTTAACAGCTGGGTTTCTTCCAGAGGAGTCATCTCAATTTATTTCTTTAGAACCTCCTTGATTAGTAAATTCTTTCTTTCCCCTTTTATAAAAAAAAATAGAAATCAATCTAAAGAGTAAAATGAGAGTAATATAAACTTTTGAGTCAGCAATATGCCTGGGGAGAAATATGTGCATATGCAGTTAAAGATAAATACAACTGTATTTTTTTTATGCACAGTTATAAGTAACTAAGGTTTTTTCAGGCAACAGTGATACATGATTTGTACATATGCTTTCCCATGTGTATTTTTATGTGTTTTTATTGATTTTTAGAGAGAGAGCAAGGGAGAGGGATAGAGAGAAACATCGATGAGAGAGAACCAGCCTCCTGCACGCATGGGCCCTGACTGGGAATTGAACCGGTGACCTCGTGGTTCCTGGGTCGATGCTCAGCCGCTGAGCCATGCCAGCCGGGCTCCTTTGTGTATTTTAAGTGAACTATATTTATGGGTTTCCTAGAGTGCTGGCATAGTTACATTTTCAATGATTTCACACTCACAGGTTATACAATTCATTGTATCTCTGTAGATGACTTTATCTCTGAACTAGAAAGTATTTCAATTTAATTTCTACATAATACAAATACATACTTATGTTCCTTAGTTTTTTTGAAGGGCAAGCCATGTGACTTGGCATTAAGTAGTTATACCCTAAATTCTGAGCATGTTAAGCGTGAGTGAGTGATAAAGGTCCAAGCCAGAGAATAAATTAGTAGAGAAACTCCTTCTATTTTTTCTTTAAAACCCCACCTCATATATAAAGTGTCATTTCTTTTAAATTTGGTCTCTCAATTCCCAAAACAATGACAAAATACCATACACACACACACAAAAATAATGCCCTGTAACATATGAGAAGACAGGCAATGCCTATTTCAATGAAGTTCTTGGGTAAAAATGTAAGTTTTTAGAAAATATGTATTTTTAAGTAAAAAGACAAAACTTCCTACAGAAAAGGCCTTTTAAAATACCATCTGATCTCACTTATATGTGGAATCTAATGAACAAAATAAACTGAGAAAACAAAATAAGAACAGGGGCATGGAGACAAGAACAGAGTGACAGCTGATAGAGGGGAGAGGGGAGGGGGGACTGGATGAAAGAAGAAGGGATTAGGCAGAGAACATACATGCATAACCCATAGACCAGGACCACAGTGCGGTGAGGGCCAGAGG